GATGTGGTTAGTAAGGTCATTACTGAGGAGAGAAGACTGAATGAAATGAAAAATAAATCATATGAGGATTCAGATTTATCTGTCGGTACCAGGAAAAAGAATAAAAGTTTCTGAAAGAGGAAGGTTGTCTGCTGGGGTTGTGGTCAAACTGGACATGTGAGGAAGGATTGCCCGAATGGTGGAGCTGATTCGGCTAGAAGCTCTAACCTGATCTTCGCTAGAAGCTCTAACGTTGGTTGCGGCCAAGTGAATCTCCTGTGGCGAAGGAGATGATGTGTTTCTCTCTGTAATTTGGAGAGATGTGTGGTCCTCATGGCATGATGCTACCATTGAGATCCATGAGAAGAGGATGGATTATTGGTCAGCTGGTCCACGGAAATGCGCACCTAGGCATTGGGTTGACAGTTTTGTCGCAAAAAAGTGTGTGGTGAAAAAAATGTCGATGGCTAATGAACTCTCAGAAAATCGGGTTGCATCATAAACTATTAGCGGGATCCGACATGGCCAATGGAAATTCTTGGAGTCGGTAAAGTGGTTCCAAGTGGCGATACTTTTTTATGGTAGAGTATGATAATTCTTGACGATAACAATTATGATTGTCGATAGCAGACAATGTTGTTTTTTTTTTTTATTTTATTTTCAAGGTGGAGGTTGTTAGCCTCCTTTGTTGAAAACAAAAAAAAAAATTAGTTTTGCTCAATCCCACATCGAGGAGAAGAGCATGTGAGGGTGGTGGATTGGCTATAAAAAGAAGCCAAGGTTTAGGTTTAAAGGTTTAGGTTTCTAAACACATCCAAAACACTTGAATGTGTTTTTAATCTTAGGGAATTTAGTGCAAAGTCTTTTTTAGTCTTTTGGAGTCCCTTGGAGTATAAAATATTTGAGGTGTTTTGAGGGTGTCGGGTAGAAAAATATTTTGTAATTGTGGTTGTAACGATTTGCCGCATCGTGAATATTTTTCTTAGTTGTCGTTTGGCAACGGCCGTGGTTTTTCTCCACTTGGGGAGTTTTCCAAATTAAATTATCGTGTTATTTATTCTCTTTAATTTCTGAGTCATTATTTTATTTTCTCATTTGTTCCTACTTGAAGCCGGTCAGAAGGCGGGAAAATAGTGATTTTCCCAACCAAATGATAAGAATCTGGACCCCTAATTTCGTCCCAAAGCTAGCTCATAGGGGAAGGACTGAACCCAACCTTATACACTAAGCCAGGATGTACTCCACAGGCGATGTGGGACGCATCATCCCCACCCCATAAGACCCGACTGCCTCAGTCGGCGTTCTGACGGACCCCATGAGACACCGACCCTACGAAGCCAGAGCTTTGATACCAAATGACAAGGAACCCAAAGGAAATGAATTCCTAGAACCCCTAATCGAACGGATCGGATCAAAGATTAAGATGAATCCCCCTCTATTGCAAAGATTAAAGCATGAACCCCCTCTATGACATAAACGCTCTATGGCACCCCACGTTTATAAAGAAACGGTAACACCAATAATCGAGCAAAGAACAAGATAAACGCCACAAACGAATTGATAAGTTTACCTCAATTCTTGATGCAATTAGAGGAAGCAATCTCTCACTATCACTCTAAGCAAAGAAGAACATGCAACATGCAAGAGCATGAACAATCTGTCTTTGATTCCAAAATGCCAAAAATTCTGTTTTACATCTTAAGGAGGCTATTTATATGCCTCAAACAAACCTAACTCTAAAGAAGAATATCTAACTGGGCTGCCCTAAGGCCAAAACACATGGGCCTAACTAGTACACACAAAATATAATCATTTCCAGCCCAAAATAGACAACTTAATGTTGGGAAAATCGCTATTTTCCCGAACTTCGGACCGGCTTCAAGCAGGAACAAATGAGAAAATAAAATAATGAATGAGAAATTAAAGAGAATAAATAACACGATAATTTAACATGGAAAACTCCCCAAGTGGAGAAGGAGAAAAACCACGGCCGTTGCAAACCGACAAACCAAAGAAAAATTATTCAACTATGCGGCAAATTGTTACAACCACAATTACAAAAATACTTTTTCTACCCACAACCCTCAAACCCCGCCAAATATTTTTATACTCAAAAGACCTTGCTCTAAAATCCGCTAATATAAAACACATTCAACGTGTTTTTGGTGTTCTTTTTTTAGAAACCTAAACCTTGGCTTCTTTATAGCCATATCCCACCACCCTCACATGCTCTTTCTCCCCGATGTGGGATTGAGCAAAACTAAAATTTTTTTTTTTTTTCAACAAAGGAGGCTAACAATCTCCACCTTGAAAATAAAATTAAAAAAAAAAAACAATATTGTCTGCTACCGACAATCATAATTCTTATCGTCAAGAATTATCATACTCTACCATAAAAGAGTATCGCCACTTGGAACCACTTTACCGACTCCAAGAAGTTTCCATCCGCCATGTTGGATCCCACTAATAGTTTATGGTACAACCCTCCTGTTGACTTTTCCGAGAGTTCATTAGCCATCGACATATTTTTTTCACCACACACTTTGCATCAACTGTTGCATCAAACTGTCAACGACAATGTCGTGCGCCCATTTTCGTGGACCCGCTACAATAATCCGTCCTCTTCCCATGGCATCTCAACGGGTAAACATTCATTGCCATAAGACACCACATCTCTCAATTACAAAGCCGAACAATCATATCCTTTCGCCACAGGAATCAAAACATAGCAACAACGTTAGAGCTTCTAGCCGAATCAGCTCCACCGTTCGGGCAATCCTTCCTCACGTGTCCAGTTTGACCACAAACCCAGCAGATAACCTTCCTCTTTCCGGAGCTTTTATTATTTTTCTTGGTACCGACAAATAAAGCTGAATCCTCATATGATTTGTTTTTCATTTCATTCAGTCTTCTCTCCTCTGTAAGGAGCTTACTAACCACATCCGCATACACCACTTCCTTACTACCATATTTCAGAACAAGTTTTCTGTGCTCATATGTCGAAGGAAGTGACAGGATGAGTCGAAGAGCTTTATCTTCATCTTCTTTTTGGTGTTGCATTTCAAGAGTTTCCAATTTAAAGAGACGATGTTCGTTAAGGAAACACTCAGGTGATCTGACAGCTTTGTACCTTTTCCACCACACACTTTGCATCAACTGTCAACCAATGCCGTGCGCATTTCCGTGGACCAGCTACCAATAATCCGTCCTCTTTCATGGCATTTCAACGGGTAGCAATCATGCCATAAGGACACATATCTCTCAATTACAGAGAGAACACATCATCTCCTTCGCCACAGGAGATCAAATTGGCAGCAACAACGTTAGAGCTTCTAGCTGAATCAGCTCCACCGTTCGGGCAATCCTTTCTGAGTCTCTACTGCCACTGTCTTTTCCTGAATTCTTTCCTTTGACTGGTTTACCCTGCAAAACCTTATGCAGTCCAGACTGAATCAACACGTCTTTGAATTGCACTTGCCACAGTGCAAAATTCATTCTCCCGTGAAATTTCTCAATCTCACATCTCATAGCCGACATGCTTACTTGTTCTTATGACAGTGAACCCAATAATTAGTGAAGTAAACCGATTCGGTAATACAAAGGAAAGACCACAATGATCTCCTAGACAGTATTACCATTCCACGTAAAATCTCAGTTGGGCGGAGGGGTCACAAGCGGTCCCACTTAAAATCCGGCCTTCGAGACAGAAGTTACGTGCACGGTATATTATCAGAACTTCCTTAACAGAATAACTTCAATAATTATCGTCAGGACCTTCACCACAGGTACAAGCACACCAAAGCAAAGCTCCACCCGCTTCAAGACTTCCAAAACTCCACCTGTCCACCGCTTTAAATTAAAATAATTTTCTTAACAAACAGTATTTCTTTGATAAATGGAATATCAGACTAAGCCGCAACCACATGCCATACTTTAATTACAAGAAATTATTTTAACACTAAAATGCTCCGCCCTAACCAATTAGCTCTGATTTACCACTTTGTTGGGAAAATCGCTATTTTCCCGCCCTTGGACCCAACTTCAAGCAGGAACAAATTGAGAAATAAAATAATGAACTAAGAAATTAAAGAATAAATAACACGGATAATTTAACGTGGGAAACTCCCCAAGTGGAGAAAAACCGACGGCCATTGCCAAACGACAACCAAGAAAATATTCACTTATTGCGGCAATTGTTACAAACCACAATTACAAAAATATTTTTTCTACCCGACACCCTCAAAAACACCCACAAATATTTTATACTCAAAGGACTCCAAAAGACTTTGCTCTAAATCCCTATACAAAACACATTTCAAATGTTTTGGCCTGTGTTTTAGAAACCAAAACTTGGCTTCTTTTATTAGTCAATCACACACCCTCACCACCACCACCCTCACATGCTCTTTTCCCCGATGTGGAATTGAGCAAAACTAAATTTTTTTTTTTTTTTTTTTTCAACAAAGGAGGCTAACACTTGTCTACCACCAAACCTGAAGGAGAACATGAAGAATCATGAATATTAACGATAGGAAGTTTTAATTAAGAAAACCCTCGTCTAATAAAAATACTCCGTCTCTCTCACGTCTCAACATGTTTGTGATGAAAGGGAGAAATAACGTCGAGAATCACCCCGTCCCAGTTCAATCTCAAATGTCGGGTTTCAAGTTCCAATAATGACAAAACAGCACCTGAAAACAAAAGCCATGAGAATCACCCCGTCCCAGTTCAATCTCAAATGTCGGGTTTCAAGTTCCAATAATGACAAAACAGCACCTGAAAACAAAAGCCATAATATCTATAATGCTGAAATTTTTATGTCGCGTGTCTGATTCTTTACATAGACTTCAGATCATGGATCCTGTCCTCCATTCAACTACATGGGTCAGCTGCAGATGTCTATTATTAGTATTAACGCTTGCTGACCGAAAAAGCAAGAAGAGACGGAGGGAGGGAGGGAGGGTGAGAAAGGGTGGGTTGTTGGGTTATTAATATCGCAATAATTTATATGACAGATCAAGTTACATTTAATGGAACTTATACCATCATTATTGAAAAAATGAATTTACCATCGTCCATTCATCAACAACTTACTTCCATCAGGTAGTTTTTGCCTCAATTTTCGATAGCCATTGTACAAAGGCTCAAGGTACCGGTACACATCAACATCATTCCCAGTGAGACAAATAAAAAGCACCAAGTATACGCACATATCTGCACCCAGTAAATGAATGTTGAATAGGGCTATAGGACATCCAACGACAATAGCATATCACAAATGTGAAAACAAAGCAACGTTGACAAGATGATGATGATGAGGATAATACAGAGTATGTGAAAGCCAAGTAGATAAAATAAAACCCCAAATTTCCTAGATTTTCAGCTGTTTGCTATCAACATTCAAAGCAAGTAAACAGACACTTGACTTTTGTGATGGATAATAGAAGACATTGCAACCATACGACCAAGGGCAGAACTAATGCATAGGCTCACTCCCAATTGTTGAATGAGAGACAATAATAACTAGAAGAAGGTAGCACAAAATAGTACTAGATTCTCAGAAAAGAAACCAAAATAAAGCAAACGGGAATGCCACACTCATATACATCATCTGTTAAAAGAAAGAACCACAAATAATGCACAATCGTTTCGCTGACTAAAAAGGGAATAGCAGTAGTTTACAAGGGAAACTGAGAAATACCCAGATCACAATCTGCAACCAATCAAGGAGGATGCAAAAACTGATGGCTATAAAATATAAAGAGTACCTGATAGGCAGAAGTAGCAACTCCAAAAAGAAAATTAGGAGGAAAGTCCGACCGAGAGACCTCCTTTCCGTGCAAATATTCATGTTCCTTCAACAGTTGCTCCTTCTTTGTCATTCTTCTCTCTCCTTTTTCCAGTGGTTTTAGTGAGCGAGTAATGTGAATCTGAGGGGGTAGGCAATAAGAGAGAGGTGTGGCTGACTGGCGTTGTCCGATCGTTGTTGGCACTCTATGAAAAAACAATAAACTGTAAGCTTAAAGTTCACAATTGACCAATTTACCACTTCAAACTGTACACGTGGAATACCAGAGTATATTGTGATAAAAACAATGGAAAGAAAATGAAAGAAAACGTCAAATTTCAGGTGGGAGAAGCGCTTTCTCTTCTCCTTCCTTTGATATATAAATACGAGCATAACATGATCTATTACTCTTTAGGAAATGAATTTTGATTGGAATTCTGATCGGCTTAAACAGTATAGATCAAACCCAAATGAGCTGCAAGATTCAAGATATGACAAAAGCCTTATCCAACCTTAATGCTCTTTTCAACATTATATCTCAGTATGAAAACAAATTTATAATCACAAATGTTGACTGTTTTACCATTACAACCCAGCTTCTAGAATATCATACAACCATTTTCAATACAAGAAAATTCATTTGGATTCCTACAAGTCACTTATAGAAATCAATCAAATATCATTTCAAATATCTCAGTCATTTGACCAATCAAGCTAATAATCCAAATTCGAGGGCTAATACTACCTTAAATTTTTGTTCTAGCTATAAATGAATCAGTCGATTAAGCAGCAAAGGGGAGAAAAGGAGAGATGACTGCAGGCATGAATCTTCAGTGAATTGCATAGAAATCACCAAATCAAATTGGTTTAGTGAAAGATGACAGGCAGCATTCACCACAGCAGCCTGCATGAAAATTAGCAAACAAAATAACTAAGAGAACGCCTCACCATCAGTCCATATCATAGTATGATTTAGTTATGTACACGTTACAGAATCCATCAAGTCATTGATACAACAAGAGGAACTTAGCAAAACAGCATTAGATGCCAAATATAACAGAATCCATCAAGTCATTGATACAACAAGAGGAACTTAGCAAAACAGCATTAGATGCCAAATATAGTTGCAGATTTACATGTTTCTTTAACAGTAACAGCCACCTAGTAAAGATCACTTCAATGGTTTCAAACCCAGGAGAGCTCGCAGCTTATTGGCTTCTGCAATCTCTGGATCTGGGTGGTTTGTGCCATCATCCTTCTTTTCCTTCTTTTTTGGCTCTTCTGGTCCATCCCCACGCCTTTTAGGACTGTTGCTGCTGTGGACATGCCTCTTGCGATCCCTGCTCCTACATCGACTCCTTGAACGACTCCTCCGCCTGCCACGGTCCCTATCTCGCCTCTCCCATTCTGTACCTTCACTCTCTCTTTCTCGCTCTCTCTCCCGCCTATAATCTTTTTCTTCTCTCAAGCGATACCTGTCCCTATCCCTGTCCCTGTCCCTGACCCTGTCCCTGTCATGCCCACGTCCACGATCGTAGTCCCTATCATAGTCCCGATCATAGTCTCGATCCCTGGGCAAACAGGAAAATCAAGGTTCAAAAATAAGCTCAATTTTTTGTTCAAGGCTTTAATCAACTATGAATTCTGCAAATCAAAATTGTACATTAAATGTATTATCTTCATCTGAAAAAAAGGAGGGAAATCAATGTTGCACTTATAATTGAAAATGAAATTGACATGAAATTGTTTGATCCATCATACTTCTCACTGCACACTGTCAGTGCAGAGAAACCTGGCAGGATCATGAGATATTAATATAGGAAGCTGTTTTAACCACCAGTGGCTTTAAATGCCATGATGGAACTGGACTTGTTTAATGTGTGTGTTTGTGTGTATGTGTGTGCGCGTGAGTAAATAGGTACGCTCAATACCTAAAAAACAGCTTCCATCATGTGCTTACACACTTAGGACACAGTTCTATCACAGATTAGTTAGAATGAAATCCACTAGTTTTGCCACAAATATTTTTCACACAGTAAAATAAAAAAATAAAAATCAAAAATCAAATTCTTGTTGAGAATCCAAAAACGATGTACTAATGCATTGTTAAAGAAAAAAGGGGAAAAGACAAAAAGTACAAGTTATTCAGTTAGAAACCTCGAATTTGAAATAGAAATGATATAAGTACAAAAAAAAAACAAAGGCACCATGAAATAGAAATGATATAAGTACAAAAAAAATAAACAAAAGGCACCAGCCATGTAGAAAATCAGGCATTCATTTTCATTGCATTGGGAAAAATTAGAGTAATTAGCACAGTTCATTACATTTTATGCTAGGAGACCCATGCACAAAGATACAAAATAACAAATTTACCAACTTACTTAACAGAATATGGAATCAGGATACTCTATGCATCACATCATACAATCAAATTCATCAACCAGGCCAAAGAGTTTACCTGTATCTGTGACTCTCACGTCTTCTATCCCTATCCCTTTCCCAAGTGGGACTTCTCCCGTGGTAATAATCCTGTCAGCATTTTTAAAACCACATTTAATAACTTAATAAGAGCTAAATGTGATAAAAAGCGCCAAGAAAAAAATTTAAAACTGAAATGTTCCTGCTCAAGGTAGGAAGAATTACCCGTTCATCAATCGCATTGTCTAATCCATCATCTTGTTCATTCTCCTCTTTCTCTTCCTCCTCTTCAAAATCATCTTCCAGCACACTTTTTCTAGGTTCGAGTGAACAAATTGATTCAAGAGTCCATCTGTTGATAAAAGAAAGTCATATCAAAACTTCATGTAAATTGGCATTCAAATCAAGTAACATGCATATCTATAAACATGGAAAAAATATGAAATTTCTATACCTTTAAGCAACATAGCTACTAAAATTTTACTTGTTGCCTGAATTTTTTGCAATTACTATACCAAGATATCTAAAATGGCCATAAAAAAGTAAACTTTTTAAAAAAGTTACCTTTTCTTAATGCGTGGGAGAGCAACGTCACAGGAATAATCTTTGGTAAGAAGCTCATGTATAACCTCATCCACATGGATTAAATCAAATTCTGAGAATTAAAGAAACCAACAAAATTTAATAAAACTATGTAAACAATTATAGATGTGTTTTGAATACAATTTGAAAGAGTTTCAAAGGTTCCAAAAAGAAAGCTGTAGAAAGGTTAAACAACTTACTTCCATCAGGTAGTTACTTCCATCAGGTAGTTTTTGCCTCAATTTCCGATAGTCATTGTACAAAGGCTCAAGGTACCGATACACATCAACATCAGTCCCAGTAAGACGCAGATAAAAAGCACCAAGTATACGCACATATCTGCACCCAGTAAATGAATGTTGAATAGAGCTATAGGACATACGACGGCAATAGCATATCACATATGTGAAAACAACGCAACATTGACAAGATGATGACGGTGATTATAATACAGAGTATGTGAGAGCCAAGTAGGTAAAAAAAGCCCCAAATCTTCCTAGACCTACAGAGTATGTGAGAGCCAAGTAGGTAAAAAAAGCCCCAAATCTTCCTAGACCTTCAGCTGTTTGTTATCAACATTCAGAGCAAGCAAACATACACTTAACGTTTTCTAATGGAAAACAGAGACATTACAACCAACGAGAAAAGAGACATCAAATTTCTTCTTCAACAAAACTACTATCCAATAGCTAGCAACCATGAAAAATACACAGAACACAAAATAATTTTTAAAAACAATGAAAGCCGGTGAGTAATTCTTTCTCATTCCAGAAAATTTCATGACCTAAAACTAACCAAATAGAAACACCAAATACAGAAATTTGTTGGAAAAATAGAAACGCAGACATTAAATTGAAGTAAAATAATAATAATAAATAGACAGCAAATAAAGACAATACATACTTATAATCGTCGTTTTTGATGAACTCGACAACAATGTCCTTCTGGGGCTGGATCTGAAGCATCTTCATTACCAAGCACATAAAAGGCGTAGGTTTGCGGTTCCCACCATAGGTGCCACCAAGATGGTCAAGCTCCATAGCCTTGTCCACGAGCGTCTCTGCAGTTCAACCGAAGCATTGCTCCTTCCAGTAGGTGTTCTGGTATATCTTAGACCTAAGAATTTTCTCGACGAGATTCTGGGGATTCGTGCCCCTTATGCTCTTGACCGCCGGATCGGTGCGGTTGGCCATGGCTTGATTGAAATGTCAAAATTGGAGGGAACATATTTGTAACCCTAATCTAGAAATTCGGGGGACGACAATGGCAATTTGATAATAAGGGGAGAAATTTGCTTATGAGGATAGTGGGCTAAAATCAAATCTGGGCTAACTTAAGCCCATGCCCAATTACCTGGTGGTGTTACTAGTAGAGATGGCAGCGGGGCAGCTACCCACTAGAAATCAACTACCCGAATCCGACCCTGATCATCAATTTAAGTACCGAATCCGTCCCAAATCTGTTAAGGAATAAACTAACTAAATCCGTCTCAAATCCGTTTGGGAATACCTGTATAGTACCTGAATCTGAACCCGAAAATGCAACAACAAAAAAAATTGTAAAAGTTACATTAAAATTAAATCTGAAATAATAAAACAATCAACATGTAATATTCTAGAACAACGGTACCAATAACGTTAAAATATAACAAAAGAATTAAGATTCAACATAAATAAATAATACATTCAACTAGAAAATTTAATAAAAGACTAAAGAGAAAATTATAATTAGCTACAGCACATTTTTTCCTAATTTTAAAAAATAACAAATAAAGAATAAAAGACAACAGTAAAGATAAATTCCTAATCACATTCCCAATCATCAAAATATATTTTGTCAAGAAATCAATTACCTTCATCCAATCTAACAAGAAGCTTTGAACCTGAAAATACCTAATCGCATTCCAAGATTTAGATTTTTGCAATATAGGAGAAAGAAAGCGAAGAAAAATTCAACAAATAGAACACCTCTTTCATATAGGATATAAATATAATAACAAATAAAACATGCACAAAATCCAAAATGAAAAAAATAAAACAATAGACATATATCTCCTGGCTAAATCCACAAATTAATTCAACAATTCCTCCTCTTTGTCTGTTGATATGTATTTATATGAAAAAAGAAAAAGAAAAAGAAAAAGAAAAAGAAAAAGAAAAAGAAAAAGAAAAAGGGGAAGGGCCACAAATTAATTCAACAATTCCTCCTCTTTGTCTGTTGATATGTATTTATATGAAAAAAGAAAAAGAAAAAGAAAAAGAAAAAGAAAAAGAAAAAGGAAAAGGGGCGAAGGAGAACCAAAAAAACATAAATGGAGAGAAGTTATAAAAAACCAAGAATGCAAATGGAGGACCTGGCACTGGTACTGCGGTTGAAGAGCAGGACTGCTGCGGAGGCGACGGCCACGCACGGAGCGACGGGAAGGTAGAACAATAAGACTGTGAATGGATAGAAGAACCGTAGAAGGAGAGAACCAGCGGCCCATAGAATAAGAGGTTGAGTTTTTTTTGTTTTTTTTTTAAGTTAAAATGAGAAAATTTATTACGAAATCAAGAAATCAATCAGAGCAGGAGGTGGTAGAGAAATCCAAACCCCCAAGCCTGCTTCGGAATGTGTTCTAACTGCTAACGTATGTGCAGCCACATTCGCAGACCTATAAACAAAATTACATTTTGCGACTGGTATCTCAGACAAAAGAGATTTGCAGTCCTAAATTATCAAACCAAAAGCAGACGAGTCATTCGTAATAACATTATTGATGGCATTTGCAACTGATTGAGAATCAATTTCCAATAAAATATAATTCCATCCGCGATACTTGATCCAGGTCAAAGCTTCTCTCACGGCTATGGCCTAAGCCACCTTAGCAGTGAAAAAACCCGGAAATCTCCACACTTTGCTAGCAATAAACTCAGAGGCTGAATTCCTAATTACTATGCCAATACCCACATAACCGGAAGCCACTCCAGTTGAAGCATCCGTGTTCACTTTTAACAGTTAAACGGAGGTGGACTCCATGTACGATTTGAGTTAACTGGAGAAGGAACTACCAAACCATAAAGCTTAGCTTCCTTCCATGCATGCCAAAAACCCGTAGCTTGCAAAATTACCGCCCCTGGATTCCTGCTTTTTTGACGCTAGACCATATCATTCCTAGTGACCCATAATGCCCAACACACCGTAGAAACATAACTTAAATTCTCCAAAGACAAGGAAGTTGAGGCTTGTTGAAACCACTCCCCAAAAGACAAAGCCGAAGACCATCGAAACCCAAGGTGGGAAAGAGTCCAAACCTGTCTTGCAAAAGGGCAGTTGACAAGAAGATGAAGATTAGTTTCAGAATGTCCAAGACATAGAGGGCAAATATCTTGACTGTCCATCTTTCGAGAGCATAAATTCCTCCTACAAGGTAGAACATCACATATGGCACGCCAAATGAAATTAGAAACTTTGGGTGGAATCTTCATCTTCCGCTGAGACCAACTTATAGTAGACAGGCTGAGTTGAAAGTTAAGACTTGAGAGACCTTTATTTTCTTTGCGCAACCCTAAGCTAAAACGATGCAGTTTTGTTTGTGGATTCATTTAAACATCTAATATCAAAACTACGTCGTTTTGATGGTAAAATAAATTAGAATTTCTTGTTTTTTTTTTTTTTGAAAGAGTTGTTATTATTATTATTATTGATTAAAAGGCTATAATTATTTCAAAAGTATATTAATTGTTGTAATAATAATACTTGGTAAAGTATTAAGTTTAATATTTTTTTATTAAAGAATATGCCTAATAAGTTATGATTAATTATGGTTGTTTTAATCTTTAATCTATATGCACTAGAGACTTCTAGTTATAATTATACTAAAATATATGATGATACTAATAGAAAAAATAAAAAGACTTTTAATTAAGATATAATTATAATTATGTTTACAAATTCACTAGTGATATTTTATACAATTATATTTTAAATTACTATAATTATATCTATATTTCATATTCCACGATATTAATTAAAAAGCTCTAATTATATTCTAATTATATTTCAATGTTATAGCAGTTATAATAATGATAATAGTAGGTAAAATATTAAGTTTAGTATTTTTTATTAGAGAATATGCCAAGTAGGTTATAATTAATTATGGTTGTTGTAAACTTGGTATCCTTGATCTATATATTCTAGATTTTTAGGTATAGTTATATTAATATATATATGATGATACTAACAAAATAAATAAGAGGACATTTAATTAAAATCCAATTAGAATTATGTTTACAAGTTCCTTGGTGATATTTTATACGAGTTACATTCTAAATTACTATAATTATATCTAAATTTCATATTCCGCACGAATCACATTTTAAATTAAAATTTGATTATAATTATCATTAGAAGTTCATTAGTGATGTTGATAAGTAATTTTTATAACTTTTAATTATAACATTGTTAGCATTTTATTCAATTAATAACTTTTTTAATAAATTTCATAATTATGAAACTAAAAAAAATTCAACTAAATTACTAAGACACAAATACTATATATATAATTTTGTATAATATATTTTATGTAAAAAAAATAAATTCAAATTATTAAGATATAAAAAATAAATTCAATTTTAGATATTTATTGATGTATGTAATTTTATTAAATTTTAATTATGAACTATAATATATTATTGAATGTATGTAATTTTATTAAATTTTAATTATGAATATAATTATATTAGTATTTAATAATATTTTGTTTATTAATAAAAATTTAAAAATATAAATAATTACCATTACAATTGATTAAATATATATTTTATGTGCACTTTTCATTTGAAAATGTTAAGCAGCTTGGTGGTAAGACAACCTAATTGGTATGTAAGAGATCACGGATACAATTCTACTATTTAATTAATAAACATTTTGCTTTAAATTAAATGGAGAATAGGTGAGTACCCGTTGCCAAATCCGTTATATACTATCCGAATCCAAAAAAATCGGGTCGGATTAGATCGGTTAAATTGCCATTCCTACTGCGCTGGACGGTCATCTTCCCTGTTGTCGCTATCCATTTTATATTTGTAGGAATATTCATAGAATCCCTTTAGCGCCGTTACTCCTTCCTCCGTTATGTTGCTTAGTTGGATGCCACTGTTCCTGGCACGGTCTTCTCTGAATGGGCCAGCTGGCACGCCATCTCTCCTGCACGTGGCCAGCTGCCTCTGTCTTCCACTCCTTTTCGTTTCACTAAAATAACCCTATACATCAGCCTTTTAACTATATCGCCACTTTGGCCTGTCCTCGTGCTTATCGAACCACCATCGTTTTCTCTTTTGCGTACTTAATGATTTTCGGAATTATTAAAATTTTATATTTTATATATTATAGAATCTTATAATTTTAAAATTGACTTGAAAATAAATATTTTAGTGAATTGGGGGAAAAATTAATTACTTTTTTGATAGAAAAGCAACATACATATTTGGAATATAAATCAACATATTATTGTAATTTTCCATAAATAATTTTAACATTAATTTTTTAAACAAAGATAATACATATTAACTTAATCAAAAGAATCTAAGTTCCGAATTTGTGCAAAAATTCAAGGTCATAATAATTTTATATCATCTGATGCGGTTGAATCAGTGTTAACATAATACAAAAATATTGATGGATGAGTTTGGTACCATTCAATTTATTTTAAAAAAACTTATTTCGATTTTCATTTTAAATAAGAAAAGTCTGTTCGTGAGCTGCTCACGCTCGATTCAATAAAAACTCGCTTAAGTTTATTTGATAAATTTATTGAGTTGAGCTATCGAGCTTGTTTAATAAATGAATTGAGGTTAAGCTCAATTCATTAAGCTCATTTCGACTCTTGAGTCGGCTTTATTCAGTCAAGCTCATGAACAAATTTAATAAGTCAAAATAAATTATATTTATATAAAACAGTCTCGTTTTAATTTGATAAATTTCAAATCTGAGCCGAGCTCGAGCTAAGATTTCCAAGTCAAAACGAATTCGAGCAGTGCTCAAGTTCAAGTGTGCTTTTATAGATGTTAGCTCAAACTCGTTAGAACTCGACTAGATCCATTTACAGCCGTAATTTTAATAAAAAAAGTCTAAAAATTTTTAATCTGATTTATTTTATTATACAAAACCTAAAAACTAAAAATCTTAAATTAAAACTTATATAATCAAAAAATTAAGTGAACCCAAAATATCAAACCGAATTAAATTGGTTAAATTTAATTTTACAAGCATATCAATTTATCCGGTTCATACTCGTTTGATTTTGTTGAACCAATCTGATGGAATGCTCACCCTTTCCGTCGAATATACAGGGGCAATTAAGTAAAAATGAGACACGTGAAGGTGAGTTATGGTAATTTCAGAAATAGGGGAAGATAGGGGAAGATAGGGGGTCCTTAAAACCTTGTGTTAGCTTCTGGCTTGCGTAAGGAACTGTAAAATCTACTAGAAGGCACAGGAATCTAGGATAAATAGCAATGACAAATTTATATAAATAAATATTTAATTATCAATAAACAGAAACTCTATTTTGTGGCAAATCTCACATTTTTCCCATGCGTCCTATCATAAAATTGGTCAAAGGGAAGATCCTACGGTGGAGATCTTCCTTATTGAGTTTGATTTTTTTTTTTTATGAAGGGGCCTACTTAAAGTGGGGCCAAGAGCTAGCATATAATGACACGTTTCTAATAAAAATACAATCAACAAAATTTCAAATAGTATTTTTTTACTTTTTTTGAACAATGGTATTTTTCAAAAATAATTAATCAAATAGACTCATTAATCAAAAATAAGTTCTAATAATGGATGGGCCGTTTCTAAAATGAACCGTGGGCACAAACGGCATAACCTGCACACTTTTTCTGTACAGTCCGCCCTTGAAGAATTTTTGAAGTAACGAACAAAATTTCTTCAATTTGTTTTAGGCGCGTTCAATTGATAATTCCAAATAAATTGACACGTAGGCATTGGGAAATCATTTTTACTATTTTTGCGCTATGATTAGCATTTTCTCCAGGTAAAAAAAAAAAAAAAAGGAAAACAAATTCAACGAATACAAGAAGGTAAAATTGATGAAATATCGATTCATCTACGTTAATCGGACGCCTTTTCATTAAAAAAAAAAAAAAAAAACAAACAAATTCAACGAATCAAGAAGGAAAAATTGATTGAAATATCGATTTCATCTACGTTAATCGGACGCCCTTTCATTAAAAAAAAAAAAAAAAAAAAAAGGTAAAAAGTAATAATAACGTATAATACTCCGTCCTAAAAGATAATTCAACTTTTTTTTTGACATTTCAAAATAATATTCTCATTTATATTTTTAAAAATTTTCCATAATAATCCAATATATTTTTATATAATAATTGTCATCAATATAGTGGGGTTTTATTTAATTTTATTATTCTAACCAACACACTTAATTAAAGATAGATTTATCTTTCTATATCTATCTATACGATATAT